AAAAATAAGTATTTATATGTGTGTACAAGCTGTTTAGATTGTCAAAAAGCCTGTGTTTTTAGGGTTATTAACAGAGTTTGTGTACTCAGACCAGTAATATTTGGGGTCACAAGATTTTGCCATGGATATTTTGGGTCAGAAGACAAAAAGTTTGGGAACCACTGATTTAGACTGTTTAGTCAACAGTTTGTGTCATTCTGCAGCCAGTCTCATTTCGTGATTTAATTTTTGTGTATGCACAGAAAACAATAATATAAACATTTTTTGCTAAACTAGCTCATGTTCTTATAAATAAATGTCTTCTGCAACACCTGTCCCCACCTCCCCCCCCTTCTCCCCCACATCACACACACCCGACAGGCTCCTACAGGTCTGAGCACTGCGCCCCTCAGCCGGGATTTTATGGACCCTCCCAGCGTTCCCGAAGGGATGTCTGGGGGCCCAGGCACCGGAGGGTCGACTTCTTCTTCCACATCTTCATCCAGCTCCTCCTCCTCCTCTTCTTCTGCTTCTTCCTCCTCCTTCACGGCAGTGGTGTCAAGGCCAGCAGAGGCCCCAAAAGAGAAACAGGAGACCCCCGAGCCAGAGTACCTGACTTCTCGCTGCGTCCTCTTCACCTACTACCACGGAGACATCAGCAGCGTGGTGGACGAGCACTTCTCCAGGGCCCTCAGCTCCTACATGGAAGGAGAGGGCAAACGGCGGGCAGCAGAACAACAGGGCACAGGTAACTGCTCTGTTGTGCACATTTTTCCATCTCCTTCTTATAAAAACACAACAATTCCTCATCAGGGAGTCAGGTTCCAGATTTAGGGGGTTCCTATGTTTATAAGACCCCATTGGTGAGCTCACAGTTCTGCAGAGCGCAGCAGAGGGTCAGACAGATGATGTGATCAGATGACAAGACTCAAGGGCTGCTTCTTTATGGAGGTCAACGCACAAGGTCATGCAGGTCAACGGCTCTTTGGCAGACAGAGGAGACTTGAAAATTTTGTTGGGCTAAAATAGACCAACGAGAGTGTTTTTATTTGAAAATGGAAAAATCTGAAACAATATACGCACATTTTAAATTCAGAAGGGGTGAAATCAAACATGGTGGTTTAACACATTGTTTATGTGTCGTTGCACCAATAAAACAGTTTAAAAAAAAGGGCGATTTCAATCATCCGAAGGACTCTTTCCACCAACAGGATGAAGACATCCCAGATATCCATGTAGGGCCCTGCAGCGTCCCTCGCCTCGCCACGCCGTCCCTTTAGTCCCTTTTCTTGTCCAGCTGAACGTCTTCATTTCGGCACCGTGCTCACTCCCTGCCTCACAACAGGTGCTATGTTTATACCCAGTCGTAAGCGCACAGCCTCGCAGACGTATCCCCTTCAAACGTCTCCACGGCTGCCACTCTGACAGTCCGCTCCGACGCTCGGTTGCACAGTCAGTTGCCTTGTGGGTTGGTTAGATTTACAAACATTCATACCTGCTGCCTTTCTTTTTTTTTTTTCTCCAGAGGAATGTTTAAATATGAAATGCTTTAAAATAAAATTGGTGTTTTGACATTTTGACAAGGGCAAGGAGAGAGTGGAGGGGGCGGGGGTTAAAAAAAACAACAGGTGGATGTGGAGACATAAAAAGTTTCAGCTGGTGCTAGTTTAGGACCAGAACTGCTGGACCTGTGTGTGTGTGTGTGTGTGTTTTTAGACTTTCAGGAGTACCGGGCTGACATGAAATTGAGAAGTGTCACCAGAGCAAGTGATTTAACACTCTGTGGGCCTTGGGCAGCCTCCAGGTTACAGCGTCTGCCTTTTATAGAATTTTAGGATACATGAGCATCTCTCTTCCTACTTTGTCTCTCTCTCTCTCTCTCTCTCTCTCTCTCTCTCTCTCTCTCTCTCTCTCTCTCTCTCTCTCT